CTCCTACTCCTCCTCCTCCTCTTCTTCTTCTTCTTCTTCTTCTTCTTCTTCTTCTTCTTCTTCTTCTTCTTCTTCTAAATGCAGAGATATAATTATGGTTGTCAACCTCCAAGTGGGGCCTGGAGATCTCCTAGAATTGCAACAGACCTCCAGAAATTGGTTCCCCTGGAGAAAATGGTGGCTCTGGAGGGTGGGCTCTATGGCATTATACCTTGTTGAGGTCCCTCCCCAGGCTCCACCCCCAAATCTCCAGGAATTTCTCAACCCAGACTCAGTGACCCTAGAATGCTAAGCGGTAAGAGAGAAAACTAACACACCATAGATAAAACTGTAGCATAATCCTTCCCCCTAATATCCTGGTTTATGATCTTCAGGGAAATTTATATCAGGGGAAATACATTATCCATTTACTGAGGACAGCTCCTATTTTTGCTACTGTTTCTGAAATAAATCACTTATCTTTATGCCCTTATTTTGTCCATGTTTTTACCTATTGATTATGCCTTGTTAAAAACTTTAGCACAAGCTGTTAGACGCATCAGTCTTCAGGGTTCAGCTCCTTCTCCAAAGTCTCAGACTCAAAGTGGGGAGTAGATGCACTTTGTCTCCAATGTACATATATTTGCACATGTTGTGGTTTTAACTTTACTATTGTTTTAATGTATCTCGCTGTTTTAATGTATTTATGTATACTCTGTAAGCAGCCCTGAACCTGCCTGGTAGGGAGGGTGGGATACAAAATAAATAAATAAAGGCAAATCTATACACACAACATTAAAACTTTATGCAGGGTGCCCACAGCAGCTGGTAATGTGTATTTTGGAGAGCTGATAAATCTCTTACAGGGACAATTATATTTTGCCTAGTATCTCTTTCTCAAGGAGAAGTATATTTTCTGGCTTCTGAAGAATTTTGAATTCAGCGTTTAAAAAAACGGCAAAACCATATCAGTTATAAAAAGAGTTAACATTAAAATCCATGAGATTTTAATTTGCAACTAGGTTTTACAGACAGCACCCATTTGAAATTCCTATGATTCGTACCTAGATCAGGAAATCAATTTTTTTAAGGACAATTTAATCAACTGAAGACCAACGTTGCATCAGATTTCTAGCCCCCCACTTTCCACATCTGTAGAATTGCCAATTTCAGATTGGGAAATTCCTGGAGATTTGGGGGTAGGAGCCTGAGAAAGGCAGGATTTGGGGAGAGGAGAGACCTCAGAGTCCACTCTCCAAAGGTGCCATTTTCTCCAGGGTAATGGATTTCTGTAGCGTAGAGATCAGTTGTAATTCTGGGAGATCTTCAGCCCCCACCTGGATGTTTGGCAACCATACACATCTGTCATTGCAGCACTCAAGAATCTCACACATGCCAGGATCAAAGTAACTAAGATTTTAATAAGTGTAATACCTTCATATACTAATCATGAGATGTACACCCAATCCACCAAAGAGGCTAATGACCATTAGAAGATCACTTCAAAAACATGCAATTCTCTGGGCAGTACATGCAAAGAGGAAGATCTTCTGTGAAGATGTGTTTCTAGGTGGATAGGGTATTTGTCCAAGAACATTCTTCATTTCTCAATTGCCGTGAGTGATCACTTGCATGGGGTGGAAGGGGTAGAGTGACTATAGACCACTGACTGTTTGAATAGCATTCCTCTGGAACCACACCAGCCATACTTTCCCCCATCCATTAAAATTTTGTTATTTGAACCCTTATTGGTATCAGTTCAAGCATGAAAAACCAAAGCTAAGTGCAGACTACTGGTGTGGAAAACACTCCCTCCCCCTTGCATTTTGTATCATTTAAAGCTGAACACTTAGGCTGGCTTCCTCTGCAAATATCCACTGTGCATTTCATCTCCCCTCATACTCCAAATGGGCAATGGATCTGCATCCTGCCATCATCAAACTGTGTATTGCCTCATCGCCAGTCTGCAGCAGTCAATGGCATGAGGCAGGAAAATGCATAATGGAGTGTCATTATTGGAGGAGGGGTATTTGCGTGTGCATTTGTGTATGTGCCCATGCCTGGAAGTCATGGCAACCTCTGGCGACTCCTACTGGGGCATGGAGGACGTTCAGAAAAATGGCTTGACAGCCTGTGTCTGCCTCTCGCCCCTGGTATTCTTTGGAGGTCTCCCACCCAAGTGCTTTCCAGGGTCGTCCCTGCTTAGCTTCTGAGACATGACAAGATCAGGCTTGACTGGGCTACCCAGGTCAGGGCATGGAGTGTCATTATCGATTATGTTTTTATCCTAGCCTTCCTCCAAGGAAGTCATGTTTCTTCCTTCCTCCATTTCATTTTTGCAACAACTTTGTTACGCAGGTTAGGTTGTGAGTTGGTGAACACCCCAAAGTCACCCTATGGGCTTCATGGCTATGGTGGGATTTGAACTCTAAGTCTCTCAAGCCCTAGTCTAACACACTAGTCTCTGCACCACACCAGTTCTCCTGTGGGACACTGGTCAGTTGTCCTGGATACTAGAAAAGAGAAGAAGAAAAGAAGAAGAGATTGGATTTATACCCCGCCCTTTACTACCTGAAGGAGTCTCAGAATGGTTTACAATCCCTTTCCCTTCCCCTCCCCATAACAGACACCCTGTGAGGTAGGTGGGGCTGAGAGAACTCTCTCAAGAACTGCCCTTGAGAGAACAGCTCTGAAAGAACTGACTGACCCCAGGTCACACCAGCAGCTGCATGTGGAAGAGTGGGGACTCAAACCCAGTTCTCCCAGATTAGAGTCTGTGCTCCTCCTAACCACTACACCAAGCTGGCTTTCTTGTGTGCAGTAGGCATTTCCATTGGCACTTCCAACTGAATGTGTGGTGTAATTCCAGCTTTCGTTCAATTGCGAGAATCATTTGAATCTATCCACTCTGCAAGTGCCTTGGTTGCTCAAGCTTTTCATCCCTGACACACCATAGGATGAATTAAATGGGTGAACCTGGAGCCAGAAATTGGACCAATATCCTGTCAGTTCATTCCAGCAGATAATGATGGAAGTAGATAAATATCAGACCAATTAACTCCACTAGAACATCTCCACGTATGTGTGCACGTGATCAAATAAGAACAATAAGTCCTTCCACATTAGCATAAATTATATGGGTTGGGGATAATATTCTCATAATTTAAAGATTGCAGTTGACTTCATGAAGGAACAGGGCATTTTCAGTTGCTGCCCCAAAGATATAGGATTAGTACACCAGAAGAGGTGTGAGTTAAGAAGAAGAAAAAAGCACTTGAGGAAACACTACTTTTGTGTGGGTAAGCTGCTATGGAGAATATGCCCAGTCTAGAAATGATTGACAGCCTTGACAGGATAGCCTTGCATCTCAAAGGCCCTGTGGCTTTACTGTTTTTCAAACAAAATGTTGGTTTCAGTTTTGCAAGGTAAACAGTTGGTTTCAATTTTGGGGGTAAAAACAAACAAACAGAGACCACAATCATAGTGCAGTCCAGTTTGTACAGAGACCAAACAGCCCCAACCACAATCTCGCAGGCAGGAATTTCACACTCTGCACTGGCCCACAGTACAAGTGTATTTCTGGATCCTATGAGCCCATAGCGGAGGCACTCTAAACGTTTCTATTTCTAGGTGAGCAATAAAACATATTCACGTACCACTTTGTTCTCTCTCTACTCCGGAAGCTAAAAGGTCAGGTTCTCCAAGGCTAATATCATTCATCTGAGTCCCCAGACACTCCATCTGCAAGACCTTGCACCATTCATCTGCTTCCAGCTCTTGATAAACAGGCCAAAAGAAGAGAGAGCGAGAGAATGAGCTGTGTGCCTGATACACTAGGCTTATAAGCTTTACAGCAATCGCAAGGGAAGTTTTTCTTTTTCTTTGGGCAGGCAGTGCTGCTAAACCCACCTGATTCGCACGCAAATGTTCTGGATGTGTCGTCATTAAAATATATCCCTACAGCATGCTTCCTCGTGCTTTTTGGCAACCGAGATATATTCTTCACATGATTAAGTTCTGTAACCTGTTGATTAAAAAAACCAGAAAACAGCAATTTGGAGTTCTCAGTAAGATCCACGTACAAATAGCATCGTATTGGGCAAACCTGTGTCACCATAGTAAACATAACTAGTCGTAAACCAACCGGTGGATGCATGGCAGATCCCCCAAGGACCAAATAAAGCACCTCTGAACCATCCAGACAAGACACTGAGAGTTCCATATTTAGCATATTTAGAATCAAGACTATGGCACAAGGGTTGCCAACTCGTTCTTGGGAAATTCCTGGAGATTGTGGGGGGGGGGTGCCTGAGATGGGGAGGGAGCTCAGAGAAGGGGGTGAAGACACAGAATCCGCCTCGAAAGCTGTCATTTCCTCCGAGGAAGCTCATCTCTGTAATGTGAAGAGCACTTGAAATTCTGGAAGAACGCCAGGCCTCACACGGAGACTGGTAACCCTACACGGCACTAGGAAAGGGGAGGTTAAGCCTTCCCCCTCCCTGCGCCATTTCCCCAGTCTAAAAGAGCACCAGGGAGCTGCTATTTGCCCACCTGGGGGTAAGCATATTGGTTGCCCGTCGTCAAGAAATGGTTCCCTTAAGCCACTTTGTCCAGGAAAACAGCATGCAGGGAATGCCTAATCCCTCTCCCCGATTATTTTTTAAGTACTGGGGGCTTTGGACATAGATCTTCCAATGTCTTATCTTGATGGGCCATCTCTTTGCTTCCTGACCATAGCAGAAGAAAAGAGAGCAAGAGTCCAGTAGCACCTTAACGTCTAACAAAATTTGTGGCAGGGTATGAGCTTTTGTGAGTCACTGCTTACTGCTGCCCATCTTTATCTATCTTCCTGCCTGGTCCTACAAAACCAGGAATACATGGCCCTTGTTAGGTCACAAGATGTGAGGGCCAGACATGTGTGCATGTAAAGTGTTGTCAAGTCGCAGCTGATTTATGGCAATCCCAGCAAGGGGCTTTCAAGGCAAGTGAGACACAGAGGTGGTTTGCCATGGCCTTCCTCTGCAGAGTCTTCCTTGGTGGTCTCCCTTTCAAGTACCGACCCTGCTTAGCTTCTGAGATAAGCCGAAGGTATAAATAAATAAGATCAGGCTCTACCATGCCACCTTCCCTCCAAGGGCCAGCCATAGGTACAGATAAATGAAAAGCAATGCATTAAATCAAGTTAGGAATTAATACAAATAATAGATCTGACCAGAGGAATTACAGAGACACTCACTGGACAGAACTTTGATTTACAAGGATACCTGTGTCTAGTTGTTGAAAGTTTAGCACTGCACAACAGTTTTTGCCACTTCGGTATGTGCATCATGATATCTGAACACTGAGAAAACATCTGGTTCTGCTAGATATAAACCCAAGCTCCTCCCTGCAAAAAACAAAACAAAAAAACCTTCCCCTACTTGGCAAAATAAATCATGAAACAGCTGGTACTCTGTAGTCCCGATAACACGTTCTCTGACTTCAGCAGCTATTCCCAAATCACCCTTTAAGCAGATTCATGTGTATTCAGATCCCCACACCAGTCCAATCCCTACTGAAGCTCAAAATTCGTTAGGAGGCTGATGGTGAGCCATTATTTATCATCCTAATCCACTGGGCAAGGTTGTTGTGGGGAGGGTCTCTCTCAATACCTACTGTTGTGGATAAGGGGTGGGATGATGCATTTATGCTCCACTTGTACACTTTCAGAAGCATCTGACTGGTTGGAATCAGAAATTTAGACTAGGGAGACAGTTGATCCAATCCAGCAGAGCTATTTTCATGGTTTTAAGAGCAGCGTGAAAAAAGGGAACAATTTCTACCATTTTGTACTTGGATCCTGTTATGTTTAAAAATAGGACTGTCAGCCTCCAGGTGATGGCTAGAGACTAGGGTGGCCAGCCTCCAGGTGGGGCCTGGGGATCTCCCGCTTTTACAACTGATCTCCAGCTGGCAGAGATCAGCTCCCCTGGAGAAAATGGCTGCTTCGAGGGGGGGAACTCTATGGCATTGTACCATGCTAAGGCCCCTCCCCAAACCCCGCCCTCTCCTGGATCCACCCCCAAAGTCTCCAGGTGTTTTCTAAACCCTACTAGGGACTGTGATTACAACTCATCTCCAGGCAACAGAGATCAGGTCCCCCGGAGAAAATGGCTGCTTTGGTGGGTGGACTCTATGGCATTGTACCCTGCAGAAGTAGGGTTGCCAAGTGTAAATTCCTCCGGAGCGGGGGACTCCCGTCCAGCGTCTGAAGCGCGCGCCGCATGCACGTCACCCGGAAGTGACGTGACGACGCCGGGCACACTGGGGGCGGGGCCACGACCATCCGAGGGAAAACCATAGAGTTTTCCCTCAGATGACCATGTCCCCGCCCCCAGCGTGCCCAGCATGGTTGCGTCACTTCCGGGTGACACGCACGTCAGGGTGGGGTTCCCCCCAGGGCCCGATCCACTGGCGGCGGGGAACGGGCCTCTGGGGCGGGGGTTTCCCCACCCCCCGGGTGGACTTGGCAAGCCTATGCAGAAATCCCTTCCAACCTGATACCCCACCCTCTTCAGAATCTACCCCCCAAAATCTCCAGGAATTTTCCAACATGGAGCTGGCAACCCTATTTAAAACACTTTCTAGGAGGGGGGGGTGTTGAATGGTTTCATATCGAGAGTTTTTGAGCTGTTCTGAAAATTCAAAGAAGTGAAACTGAAAGAGACAGTTTTTTAGAAGTTAAATTTAGCACTGCCCTCATCAATGGGACAAGATCTGAGAGGGCATGAGAGATCTAAGCTACAGAAGCAAAGAGTGAGGACAAAGCTGAAATAATTACAAGTCAGATCACTAAGGAGGAGAGCTGAAGTCAAGAAGACTTTGCTGAAAAACTTGTCTGCTGGCAAGAAGGCCAAGAAGCTGACCTGAGAAAGACCAAGGTTGTAATAAAGAGGACTGCTTTGTGTTAGGACAGGGGACTGTCTAATTAGGCTTAGCTCTGGATACATTGAACAGATGTAGCTGCCTTCTACTGAGGCAGACCACTGTCTTCTCTTGATGGGCAGTAGTCTTCCAGGGTCTTAGGCAAAGATTCTTCTAAGCACTTAGTGGAGGCTGCGGGAGTTAGACCGATTCATGGAGGATGGGGCCATCAACAGCTACTAGTCATGGTCAGGAAAGGGAAAGGTCAGGAAAGGGAACCTCCAAATAAAGAGGCTGGGAAGCAGCATGATTGCCAGTCCTCAGGTGGGGGCGGGGGATCCCCTGATTTCATGGCCCTCCAGCTGATCAGTGGGAGTACACGGCTTGCCAATCAGCTGGAGGGCCCCTCAGATCTTGCAGGAGGGAAGGGAGAGGGGCAGCCACCAGCCACACACCTGAACTCCAGACCCACAACATCAACCTCCAAGTGGAGCCTGGAGATTTCCTAGGATTATAACTAGACGGTATAGATCAGTTCCCTTGGGGAAAATGGCTGCTTTAGAGGGTGGACTCTGTGTCATTAGACCTCACTGAAGTTCCTCCCCACCCTCTCAACGCTCCACCTCCAGATCGCCAGGAATTTCCCAAGCCAGTAGGATTGCCAAATCTGGGGGGAGCTGGGGGAGGGTGGGATTTGCGGAGGGGAGGGAGCTCAGCTGGATATAATGCCATAGGATCCTCCTTCCAAAGGAGATGTTTTACCCAGGGGACTGATCTCTGTACTCTAGGGATCATTTGTACTTCTGGGAGGTCTCCAGGGCTCACGTGCAGGTTGGCAACCCCAGAACACAGAGTCGGTAACCCTAAAAACAGACATCCATGTGGTGGTAGCAGTAGAGACTACTGGAAGGAAGGAGTCAGAAGGGGCTACAGAAACTGTTTTGTCTTGCCTTGTTTCCCTTTCATGGTGTCGGCTGCCAGGCAGACCATGAAAACATAAACACAGTGTGTGCTTCTGTATATGTCCTTAGGTATGATGATGCATTATGTCTTAAATCTTTTTTTTCCCCCATGCATCTGCCACAGCAGAATCAAAACATATTGTTGTTTCTCCCTTCTGGAGACAAAAGAAAAATAATATTTTCTGGAGAGCCGAAATCTGAATTCTGTTTCGGAGCACTTTTCAAGCTATTCGTGAAGGTAACTGTATGGAGGAGGCAGGAACTATCGACTGTCACTGAAGACTTTATGGTGCTTGGGAGGAGAAAAGGTAATTAAAAAAAAAAGAGCCGTTACTAAATTTATTCACATTATCAATTCACTCTTTAAAGGTCAGGCACTGAAAGAGCAACTACTTTGGGGGGGAAAATCCAAACAGCAGAGCAATATATTGTGACATATATTTTTGCAAGCCTCGTTCACATTTGACGCTTCAAAGTTCAGCCAACTGCAGAGTAAAATCTGTTTTCATTTTGGTTACTTTTCCTTCCCGCATTGGCTCTTTTATGATGGTATCAGTTCATAAAGCAGACAATGAAGATTGCTCATCTCCCATGGCGGTTATCTTCATTGTGCCAGAGGTCCTGCTTTGATATTGCAAATATCAAGAAACATTAATCTCCTCAATAATAGCCTGATCCAATAATAGACTGATGTGAGTTAGTAGATAATATATTTAGGGTGATGTATAACCAACAGTGACAAGACATGTAAAAGGGAGAAGCTGGCTAGTTCTTCTGAGAAATTTTTTTTAGACAGAATTGATTAAATCTGCTCTTAAAACAGCCCAGTTTGAGCCCAGTAGCACCTTAGAAACCCACAAGATTTTGGGAGTGTTGTAACTCGACAGCACCTGGTACCAAAACAGAACTTTATTAGAACATAAGCTAGGCCTGGTCTGGGCCATGCTAGGTCATAATCAGCCTAGGGTTGCCAACCCCCCGATAATAGCAGGGGCTCATCTAATTCTGAAGGCCCCAATCCACCACCATCCAGCTGGCAGGTATGGGGAGTGCCGGCCCCAATCAGCCCTGCTGACCCCGACATGCCTGGTGCAATGACATCACCCAGAGATGACGTCATCATGCTGGGCACGTTGCATGGGGGACACTCTGGCATTCA